GTGTGTGTGTGTGTGTGTGTGTGTGTGTGTGTGTGTGTGTGTGTGTGTGATCACTGCTGCCCCTCCTGCACATCTCCTCCAGCCCTTAGGTAGTTTGAATTCAGGGCTGCCATTTTCCATTCATCTTCCACCCCCGTGTTGTGTTGTTTGGCCCCTGTTCTTGGTAGCAGCCCACCCCAAAGGGAGCTGCCCTTAGGGAGCAGAGGAGGAGCCTCTCTCCCAGGATGAAGAGTGGGGTCTCAGCTACAGTATGAAGAAGGGTCAGAGGGGAAGACTGCAGCTGGTGCATCCGGTCCCCCCATTCACCATGCTCGAGAGGCAAACAAAGCTGTTCTTGCATTCATCACTTCCGTCCCATGCACAGCCCAGATACCCTCATCTCTTACACACAGTAGGTGCTCAGTAAATTTGTGGCACCCGAGAAGAGAACTGAAGGGCCCCTCCCTCACCCCTGATGGCAGTGATCCTGACGGGCTGCTGTTACTGCAGATCTGGTCGCAAACAGTGAGAGCTTGGGAGCTCGCTTCCAAAGAGATAGGTAAGTCCCTCTTAGTGGTGACAGAAGCAGCCTGGAAAAATTAGTGACAATGTATCAGCACCAGAGAACCTGCCGCTGACTCAGCCTGAAATACCTCCCCATCTCCTGTGCCGGAGCCCAGGCTGTCTCACCAGAGCAGCCCCTAATCGGCTTGTCTGATTGTGGAAATCAAGGCAGATCTAAAGCGCTCAGTCTAGCAGGGAGCACAGCCCTCCCTCTTCCCTCTCCCCGCCCCCTCCATCTCGGCAGCTGTCTTCCCGGAGAGCTGGGCTCTTTTCTCCTAAACTGAATTGTCTTGTTAACGCGGTGAAGGCTGCTGTCGGCCGCTGGAGGAAGACCTCCGCTCTTCTCCCAGGCACCTGCCCCAGACTTGGTGATAGGGCACCCTTTCTGAGCCTCAGTTTCCTCAGCTACAAGATGGGAATCAATATGCTTGTTCCTCCCAAAGTCCAAAATTGTGAGGGTCAAATGGATGATGATAGGTGTGGGAGATGCTTAGGAACGAAAAGAAATTCAGAACAACAAGCCACGAGTCGTGGGAATATTTCAATCGTAAAAGGTCATGGAAAATAGAATCCTCAGAGTGGGGAGGAACCTTGGAGGGCGTGCGTCGTGCAGCCTTTCACCCCCTACAGCAGGGGTTCATAACCTGGGATCTGTAGATTTTGTGATAGATATAGATATAGAAATGTGTGTGTGTGTGTGTGTGTGTGTAGATACACAGTATTCTGATAACTATTTAAATAGAAATGTTTTCCTATGCAGTCTCTGAATTTTGTACATTTAAAAAGCGTGATTCTGAGTAGGGACTCATGAGCGTCCTCCGAGGGCCAATGGGGTCCCTGCATTGCAATACAGGGTTCTTACCCTCGTGCTCCAGCAGGGGAATTCAGCAGCTCACTAGACGGCCCACTCCATTTCTGACAGCTGTAATTGTTAGAAAGGCTTTACTTAGCCAGTTGCTGGGGCAGTGGAAATCTGTCTTCCAGGTAACTCTTCCTGTCCTCTCCAACCCGTTAACATGCTAGCTCTGATCTCTGGGC